AAATTGTACCATTATAAATTTGTGACTGCACAAGTAGTGTAGTAATTTAGGAGATGAAAATACTGTGAAATTACATGCATACAAATGGCAAGAAATTTGAACGCATATCGCATACCGAACTACAAACTTTCCAGTGATGTCTGTGAGAAAGGCATATTCACTCGACAAGTTTGCGCATCTGCGCCGCCGCGCGCTCAATCCACTCAGCGTGATTTGTTTATCAGCTCGCGCACATCAGCTATACAGGCGTTAATACTGAATGTTTAATGTTATATTCATTGCATACATATACTTCGTAGTAGACCTAGATCCTTAACTCATTTCTGCTGTCTGTTGTTCTGTTGTCGGTGTTTCTTTGTTTGAATATGGCACTTATCACATGCTGTGTGGTATCGGCATTTGGTATCGGGGCATTTTAAAGAGTACGAGTACAGGAGACCAGTATCGGGCCCAATACCGATACCAGTATCGGTATCGGTGCATCCCTACTTCATATTCTGTGCTGGTCAGTTCACAGCAGTGAATAGAAATTAATCTGTTCCAATAAGTTTAAATTGATTTTTACATTTTATGGGCATTTTTACCTTTATAAAGCCTTTTTTTCTAAAAGTGTGCATCATCTTTTGAGTCAAATTTTTACATTTAATCAGTCAATTAGAATAATAAGACATTTGGGCTGTTACCAAACAAATGATATCAGTATCAACAAAATTCATCTTTGCAATGCAGAGGAAACAGTGACGCTGCATCTGAAGAGGCATTTAGATGTAGGCCTATTTACACTATTTAATTCAGCTCAGAGGGACATGAATGCATTTAACCTGCAGTTACAAATGAATAAATAATATTTTGTTATTTTAAACATGAAACATTGAATACTGATATTTACAATTATTTAAAAAATGAAAAGATACTTTAAATGTTAAATTAAAACAGCCAGTAGGTGGCAGCAAGTCACTGTTAAGAAGTGATTCATTGCAATTGAACCGAATCATTTAAACGGTTGATTCATTCAGGAACGAAACCCCGTCATGTTGCTCAGAGATGCAAAACAGCGTTGCGGCTGTGTTTGGGATTATTTTGTTGGCGAAATAAAGCAAAAACAGGCAATATAGTGTCTAAAACGTAAGTCTGTTAATATTAACTACTTGTTTATTGAACTGTTGCATAAAATCAGTATCACATTTGTAATCATGCTGATTTTAGAGATGAACTGGCACTCTTCGTGTGATACTGACTATCTGTGGTATTTTTATGCACAATGGCGCTTAGTCTTTCACAAAACATATCTAACGTAGGGACATCATAACTAGCCACCATATTGATTTACGGTCTTAAATATGTATTTGTAATCATGCTGATTTTAGAGATGAACTGGCACTCTTCGTGTGATACTGACTATCTGTGGTATTTTTATGCACAATGGCGCTTAGTCTTTCACAAAACATATCTAACGTAGGGACATCATAACTAGCCACCATATTGATTTACGATCTTAAATATGTCCAGCACTTTTTTTTACAGTCTATGGTCCAGCGTTTATCGGGTTGTGCGTCAGTAATAATGGTCCGTGGGGAAACACAGTGTTCCGTGTGTAGTTACTGTAAATGGACTAAACGAAGCCTCGAGGTAGGGCTGGGCAAAAAAATCGAATGCGATTTTCATGCGCATCTAGTCAGTAAAGCCGCTTCTGGTGATTAGTAGTAAATCTCCAGCACGTGCTTTCAGATGGAGCGGCATTTACTACACAGAACCGTAGATCAAGCTACACAAAATCGCGTTCAAAATCGCAGGCGATTCATTGTCAGTGAGCTACGGCTCTGTGTAGTAAATGCCGCTCCATCTGAAAGCATGTGCATGAAAATCGCATTCGATTTTTTGCACAGCCCTACCTCGAGGCAAATAATTTGCCTCTGATTTTTTGTATTCGAGGTGTTCGAGGAATCGTTTCAGCCCTATAGTAAAGCCTAAAGTGTCTTTCCAAAGATACCTAAATTGTGTGTGTAGCACACTGTTGTCAGGAGCTGTTACCATTTTAAGTTAGGTCATTTTCAGCTGTGAGTCCCAAAATGGGGGGAGCAGGTTAACAGGTTAAAGAGTGTTTTATTGGACACAAGGTGTGAATATCAGTATTTTCTCTCTGTTTTGAAGAAAAAGACAATTTTATAGCTAACCTCAAAGCATACAGAAATGGACTAAAAGCAACATTCTAATTCTGATTGAGATTCTATTCTGTTCTACTGGTACTGTATTCTATGGTTTTCACAAACTCAAATCTCATTTTACCAAATCACAAAAGTGGCTTAGTAGAGTTGAAGTTGTCACCAACCCTTTTTGCAGAGTGTCCCACGTTAGTGAGTACAGGAAATGTGAGATCTTAAATTGTGGCACTGTGGTTTCCGGTACACACACAGTATGAGAGAACAACAAACTCTCAAGAGAGAAAAACACAGACAATGAGACAGACAGTCATGTGTCGCACAAACCCTTAACTGCAGGGTGAGTGTGTGTCGTTTGTCACTGTAGCCACCGACTGGTTGGACCCAAGAAATGTTGAGGATCTCAACAGGTCTTGAGTGATTGTGAGACTGTTTGTGTTTGTAGTAGCCTGCAGCAGAGAAAGACTGGCTGATTTTTAAAGGGCAGACCCAGCTGTGCGCTGTTGCCTCTGCTCTCAGGGCTGTCGCTGTGAGGCAGCTCTGTTCAGCCAATGTTGTCCTTTATCGATATGAGTAAAATCTAAACCTGCTTTATGAAATGCAGAGGCTGATGTCTTTTAAAGCTATGATGGCTTTGTTTGATGAACAGACCACAATGTTTACGACTAAATACCTTCTTTCCAGTGACTGTTAATTGCTGTGACCGGATCTTTGAGTCAGTGAGTTAAACTCGAGAACCAGTTTAGTCCAATCTGTGCTTTATTCAGGTTTTAAGAACTGTATCATCATTGATATCATCATAAAAAAGAAAAAAAAGTATAATTTGAGAAATTATTCATTAAAAAAAGGCGACTCAGATGTCAAGATGTTTCGTAAATAATGACAATTTTTTTGCCTTCCTCAGGCCAAACTATCACGACTTTAGAAATCTTTGAATAAAGTGCATGAGCCGTATGGACTACTTTTATGTGTGTATTTATTTATTTATTTATTTTTCGTAATTTTGATGACCCTGGCCCTCAATTACTGTGAATTATTTAAGGAATGGCTGGAATATTCTTTAAAAATTCTTTAGCGTTACAAGGAGGGAATGACATGAGGGTTAGTAAAAAGCTAAAATGCCTGTTCTGCCTAGTTTCTGCTGCTTTTCTGTCGTCTATTTCACTCAATTGCATGTGCATATCTCTATCTTCATCTCTATCGCATATCTTCCATCCCAAAGCTAATTGCAAATGATTTAATTTGCTCTTACCCACTGCTCAAGCACCGGTTCTCTCTGCTTGAGTATGCATCTTAACCATTAGTGTAGAAACGGTAAATCAGCTCTCAGATGAATATGTAAGGGCATCCTTTTAAACATCAGCGCTGCTTTGAAACTGCCAGCAGCTTTTTCCATTTGCCCTGTTGCCCTTTGGACTGCGGGATACAGCAGCCCACCATCTCTTGTGTCTTATGGGTGATTGCAGAGTATCTCCATGGAAACCATGTAAAGGTGTTTTTTTTTTTTCTCTCCACTTTCCAATGTCAGATGTCTACCATGCTCTGGCTGTCTGGTGCTCATTCTGCCCTCATGTCCATGACCTTTCAGAGCTGCCGTTTTTATGTTGCAGTCAAAAGTGTGGTAGTACTAAACCCTGCACTTAGTATAAAAGTTTACTGCACTGAAAAATTGATGTTTGATAGTTTGTGAGGTGGAAGTGAGGTTAAATTGAAACCACATGAAATCGGTTGACAAATTTTCAACCCGGCATTGACATTTTCTTATGAATTGAACTTTAAGGACATATTGAAGGGTTCATCTTCTTTTAAACAAAGATATAATAATAACAATAATAAATAAAATGTAATATTAGTGATGATAAACAAAAACAGTAGTTAATAGTTGTTCCTAATACTAATATTGAAAATAATAAAACGACAATAATGTGATTTTCTGATTATATGATTTTTCTAATATGAATTACTACTTTCTGTTAATATTACCATAGTATTGGTTGAAGGGGTATTTTCAATATTTCTTTCCTTAAAGACTTTTCTAATGTGCATGTCTGATTAAAGTTACTAGTCTACTTTTAGAAGTACAATAACTAGGGATGGGTATCGTTAAGGTTTTAACGGTATTACTACTCTTACCGATACTGCTTATCGATTCGGTAATTTAACATATGGTGGCCGATATATCGTGCATCCCTAATTGACACACATCAGATTTTCTCCCAACTGTTCTCCTCTACTTAAGACTAGGGCTGGGTATCGTTCCAAAATTTTCGATACGATACCGATACCTTGAATTCGATACTGGTTCCTGAACGATACTTTTTTCGATACCGATTTTAAGAAATGTGTTTTAACAAGATTACATTACACATTATCTCAGAGAAACTTTGGTTTTATTTTTTCAGGGTGTTGACACTTTTTACAGGGTTATCTACTGAGTCACTACACAAAGAAACAAATAAGCCCAAAGGAACAAAATGTAATCAACACAATATATCAGTGCAAATAGTTTTAATCACAGTTTTAATAAAGTTCAAGCAGTTTTAAGTCAGTATATGTGAGGCTCACTGCTGCTTAAGATCTTTGAATCACTCAGCAGTTCTTCTTCAGAAAAATTAGCATGTCTGCTTTTTCAGGAGTCAGGCAAGCCCGCTCCTGACTGATAATGTCCCCAGCCGTAGAAAATGTACGCTCTGAGGGTGTGGATGATGCTTGCACACAGAGATACCTTGTTGCCAAATCTGAAAGCATTGGCAGAGTGTCCTTCATGTCCCACCACCAGGTTACTGGACTCACTGTGGACAGTGTGGATGGAAGCGGTCTGTACTGATTTATCTCTGAATCTTCTCTGTAAGGCTGCTGACAGTGGTCTGTGTTCTTGCTTCAATTGCCATGTCCTCCACAGCAAACAGCTCCTCAAGGGCAGAGAGCTTTTGCTTCTTCTATGAACAAATAAGTAAAAAAACTAAGAAAAATATAAAACACTATAAAGGTAAATGCAAACAAGTTAATTTTTTTCTGAAAATTAAATAGGATGTCTTTATATTTTCTTACCAGTGTTGTTGCTGCAGATGCACTGTCTTCGTCAGTTGAGCTGTCATCTTGGTCACCTGCTCTCTCTTTGACCCCCTGTTCTATCTGCTCTGCCTGAGTCTGTATTCAATAGAATATGAAGGTCACATATATTGATCTACAATTTAAGAGAAGTAGAAGATTACCAATAAGAATTAACACCTGTTCTGAGGTCCTTCTCATCAGCTCCTCCTCCAGTCTGGTCCACACTTCATCTGCCACTTTTGACTTGAATCTGGGATCCAAGGCTGTGCCCTCCTCCAAGAACTGTCTGATGCTGCCATCCTGCAAGACAAAAACACAGGATGAGTCCCTGAATAATCCTAATGAAAACAAGTGAGAATTCAACAGGATTACACTACACACCTGGTATCTTTTTGAGAGGTCATTCCAGATGGTGTCCTTGATGGTCTTTGTGAAGGAGGAGTCCTCATCATTAACTGTGAAGTGGTGCTGGAGTTTATTTAAGATTGGCAGAATCTGACCCAAGGTTGGGCTCCTTTCAGCAGAAAGCAGTGGGTTGAAGTGTAAAGTATCTTTGTAACTTTGACAAACTGTTCTGCTTTTCTGAAATCCTCATCAGAAACTCTCTGCAGTCTGTAAAATATAATCAGATTCATTAGCTGGACTATAGTTTTATGAGCACAATGGTTCACACAAAATGGTATAAGCTAATTACAAAGTTCTTTACCTGTCCTTCTCCATTGATTTCTTAAGCCGAGGGTCCATGGAGGTGGCCTGGATGGCAGGGAACTGCTCCAGGAATCGCTCCACCATGAGGAACAAGCTATTCCACCTTGTTCTCACATCAAGGATAACAGCATGTTCTGGAAGACCTAGAGTGAGAAAGAAGAAATTGGTGTGTGTGTGTGTGTGTGTCATTATCAAAGTGGTTGATCATTTGCAGAGATGTTTTACTGCATGATTTAGCAAAGGATTTTTCTAAAATATTTAGCCAAAGAGTTTTGATCTATTGTGATTTCTACCTACTGAGAAGACGCTGCTTCTCTTTAAGGACAGGTTTATCCAGGCTGGACCTTTTCAGCCACACCACCATTGCTCTGATCCTTCCTGCCCATTGTGAGACTGAGGATATAGTGTAAAGCTTCTGAGCAGCAATGTTCAGAGTGTGAGCAAAGCAGCAAATTTTTTTAATACTCATCTTTTTTACTGCTACATCCATGTTTGCTGCATTATCCACTGTCACAGCAACTACTCTGTCCTTTATATTGAATTCATCAAGAATATCTCCTATCTCTTCTGCTACAATGTCCCCTGTCTGGGATGTGTATACTGCCCTTGTATGTAGGACTTTCTCTTTCATGGAGCCTTCATTTCTCTCACATAGTGGACTGACACTGTCAGGTAGTGGTCCTGTGCAATGCTGGTCCAGCCATCAGCAGTCACAGCCACATCCCTCACATCTTGTAACTCTTTCTTGACGGTTTCTTTTTCTACTGCATACCATGCAGGTATGAGGGTATTTGAGAGCATGTCTCGGCTGGGGGACTGATATCTGGGGTTTAAGGCCCTTATCATCTCCCTATAGTTGACATCATCAGAACACAAAAACGTAAAAATAGCATTGTTTTATAATTTTTGCTTACTATAAAAGGTAAAAAAAAAAAATTATCTAGGTTAAGAGACTACCTACAAACCTAGCCAACAACCTTAATGGTAAAGTTACAACACCACTTACAGCTTACTTACCTCCACCATGGAGCCTCCACTGTAGAAAAAGGCAGCAAACCTTTAACAATAAACTTTGTGACGGCCCTGTGGTATTTATCTTTACTTTCTTTATTACATTTTCCTTTTTCTGCCAGTGTAAATGGATTAACACTTGATGGTCTCCTAATTCCAGTGTCAGCAGGAGCAGAGGCTATAACATTAATATGAAGAGGGGAAAAGACATGAAAGCTAACCTGTTAATGCCGCCAAGCATAAGGACATTTAAACAAGATAACTAGTTTAATGTGAGTTAAACTTGATCAGTTACTGTTGACCTTAAAGCATTTTTAGCATCGATTTAGTTAGGTATCTATAGCCATCGAAACAGTATCTATCGTTACATAGCGTAGGTCCCAAAAAAGAGGACTAAGTCACCGTGCACAAACTTAAATAGTAACGTACACAAGCAAGTAGCACTACAAGTTAGCCGATTTTGTATGTTTGTTTACCTGTCGGAGCTTCAGTCATACCGACGCTATCTTCATCAGTAGTTTTGGAGGAAGACTCTTGTGGCGGGCATGTTGAAGGAGGCTCTGTGGCAGGAAAATGCTGAGAGGATGACTGCACTGGCTCGGTCCTCTTGCAGTCGAATACGGAGCAACTTTCTGCTCTTATGTTTATTCCGTGCACGATCAAGTGCTTCATCATATTTGATGTGTTTCCCGTCTTGGCAGCAATTATCTTATTGCAAATATTGCATCGCACGCTATTGTCATCGAGCTTGACGAAATGTAGACACACTTTTGATCTTTTAAACATCTTTTAAATCTATGGGGGTTGGGACGCTACACTACAGCCTCACGTGTGAGAGACGCGTCTCTGAGCGAGTGGGCGTAAACTATTGATTTTCCCTGATGCCTCGCCCCAGCCAATCACCAGCATTTGATTTGTGCATGTCAAGCATGCTGCACGTTTACTGGCTCACTGACGTTGACCAGGTTAAACCCTTAGGTATCGAAATTTGGTACCGAACGAAAATTAATTTTTCGATACTCGATAGTTTCGAGGCAATTCGGTCGGTGCCTAAAAAGTATCGAACTCTATACCCAGCCCTACTTAAGACATAAACTGTGTTTAAGTAAATACTCTCCAAGCCTGCCATTTTGAAATATTTTTGTGTGTATTTGATCGTTTGGACATGCGCCCGAAGCTCAAAGTGTAATTTGTTTGTCCGTTTTGGAGCGCGCCGCGCGCACACATTTCAGCCTGAGGAACAATGTCTCTTGTGCGGATTGTGCTTTCAACATTTTATTATCAAACATGTCCCGCAATTTAGCAACAATAATGACTGCATCTTACAACAATCACCGATTGAGCTGATTCTGACGTTAAGTTTGGGTTTTAGGGAGGAACGAATGCGCACTGCTGTGAAGGGAAAGAAGCTTCTTTCATAATTTAGCCCCGGCACCGATTAAATACCGGGTTTCGGTACCCATCCCTAACACTAACATATAACTGCCTCATAAATGTGGCTTAAAAGTCAAAAGTTTGGATTTCATGAGGTATTTTTTTTTCCTGATAAGGTTGAGTTATACCTACAGCGGAGGTTTCTTTCCCTCTTTCTGTCTGTATTGCTCACTATCATCTGTACCTGGCAGCGCCTGCAGTGCTTGGCCCATAATGAAAAGACTCCTCTGTGAAGGGGGTGTGTGTGTGTGTGTGTGTGTGTGTGTGTGTGTGTGTGTGTGTGTGTGTGTGTGTGTGTGTGTG